AGTTTTGTATGGAAATAGATGTCTATGCGAACACAGTTGTTTCATTGTGGGCAGCAAAATACCTCTGACCAGGACTATTTTTAGCAAAGCTTTTGTGCTTGCTAACAGTGACTAGGTCTCTACTTCAAATAGAGTTTTAAAAAAATACTTTGGTTTTCAAAATGCAATGTCTGAAGGCTTTCCTACTGACAGGTGTGTTCCAGAGGAGGTATTCAGCAGGTTCTGACCAGTTCTGGAAAAGCGGTAGTGAAAATTTTGAGTAATTCAGAGAACTGGGGCGAACCGGCAGAATACCATCTCTGGACACAGTCCTTTAAAAAAAGTTGTAGATAGGTGCCAGTTTATCAGTCCTATATAACTCTACACATCTTTGGGGAACTGAATCCGAAGTATAGTGCAGCCCAGTTACTGAACCACTGTAGATATACATAAAAAGTTAATGGTGTGATGTTACATATAATTTAGTATCAGTCTACTGTTGGCTTAAGATGTCTCTTCTTTAAATGTCTTAAGAAGACTATGTAGCAATAAAGGAGAAAACTTTTTGATTGTAGCATTCCCTTTCTGTACTTTTCTCCTAATCTTCCTCATGTATTGCTGCTGATCTTAAGAGAGTTATTTCAGCATTTGTTTATACAGACAGGCATTTCGATTGGCTGATATATTTGCTTATACTAGATTTGCATTTTTGGTCATTTTATGATAACACTTGAGTACAAGTTTTTAAATCATATATGTATTTGTTGTTGTTTCTGAGAATAAATCATAATTTATCATTTTAAATTATTATACCACTTCCTGTACAACCCATCTTGATTTCTAAAATATAAAATGCAACAATAAAATCAGAAAGTTAAAACAATGTAAAAGTATACTCAATAAAAAGGTAAAGGAAGACAAAAATAAAAATAAGCTATCTATTCACCTAGCAGTCTGAAAGAAAAGATCTGAAAGAAAAACAATTGGGAAGAACATTTGCAAAGTTCTAACCTTACCATAGAGCGGGCTTATGTATCAGTAACCACCAGATGGCACTGTGCTATCATCAGCGCTGGCGAAGCTACCTGGTCAGGTAATAAAATGTCTGTAAACAAACCAACCCAGGAGGCACCAAGAACTCGCAATCCAGCCTCAAGTTTTATATATTCTTTTCTATTTGTACTGTACTATTCTTACAAGTCCTCTTCCAATGATCTCAAGTGATTGACCAGGTCACACAAGTAACCTAGCTAACTGTTAGAGAATTACATGTCTTAAATGAGGGCCAGTTTTGTGTAATGGTGGGAGTAGGGAGATAATGGTTAAGACCCTGGCCAGAAACCAGGAGAGTAAATTGCCTAAGTCAGTCTCAGTCTCTCTCTTCCTCTCTCCCCACTCCCCCCAACTCTAGGGAGGAGGCAATAGCAAACAACTTATTTATTTATTTATTTATTTGAAGTTTTTATATGCTGCCCAATCCCAAAGGACTCCGGGCGGCTTACAAGAAAATATAAAAAACACATAACAACAATACAATTTAAAACAACAGACACCCCTCATACATTCATTCTAGTCGGTACCGGACCTCAACAGTGAGGTCAACAGCCCCAGGCCTGCCAAAACAGCCAAGTTTTTATGGCTTTCCTGAAGGCCATCAGAGTGGGTATGGTCCGGATTTCCAGGGGTAGCTGGTTCCAAAGAGTCGGAGCAGCCACCGAGAAAGCTCTCCTCCGAGGGCCCGCCAGCCGACATTGTTTGGCCGACGGCATCTGAAGGAGGCCCAATCTATGGGATCTTACTGGCCGCTGGGAGGTATGTACTTCTGAAATCTTGCAAAGAAAACTGCAGCAGGCACATTTCCAGGCAGTTGCCGGGAGTTAATACTGACTCAAGAGCATCCCCTTACACAAATGTCTTAAGCAGAACCATGAACCTGCCTTGATAACTAATTTGTAGGTAGTACCATTGCTCAAAGGCAGGTGCTCTGCTGTAACCTAGGCTACCTGATATAGCAATAGCAATAGCAATAGCAGTAGACTTATATACCGCTTCATAGGCCTTTCAGGCCTCTCTAAGCGGTTTACAGAGAGTCAGCATATTGCCCCCAACAATCTGGGTCCTCATTTTACTCACCTCGGAAGGATGGAAGGCTGAGTCAACCCTGAGCCGGTGAGATTTGAACCGCTGACCTGCTGATCTAGCAGTAGCCTGCAGTGCTGCATTTAACCACTGCGCCACCTTGGCTCTTATATAGCATCACCAACAGTATCTAGCCTAAATAGGCTATCTCTACAGAGTGACTATCCCAACACAGAATACATTCCAGTCTAGAAACCCTTGTACCAGTATGAACCACAAAAGTTAGGTCATCACTGTATTTGAAAGGACACAGTTGGAATATCAACCAGCTATTAAAGATACTTCTGAGAATAGAGATCACTAGTGCATTTAATGACTGACAGCTGTAAGAATACCGCCAATTTGCATCCGCCAAAGATATAGTATTCAGACAGACATAGGCAGTCACTGACATCAAAATAATTGACATAACTACACACTTGAAATCCTGCTCATCATGTGTGTGCAACGTGAGATAAACACATTAAAAAGTGACAAGTATTCAATTGTCCAATTCTACCTACCATCTTGAAACAGTTAACTTCTCTGCAGAAGTCTTTGATGGAAATAGGTGTTTCAGATCTGGTGTGTGTGCGCTTGCTCTATCTCTCAGCATTCCTTAAACTTTTTGTTGGGCTTGTACTAAGGCTGTGCAGTCCAGGGAAAATATGCTTTTGAGTTAAAGAGGTATTGAGGAGGTAGCCATGTAAGCCCAGAAAAAGTTTGTAGCTACTTTTCTTGGATCAAAGTTTCATTAAATAAAGCAAAGTTGTTTAATGAAAAAAGAAAAACACTCAAAACAGGACAGAAGGCAGAAAGTTGAAGAGCCTGCCCACATATTGATATAGATCAACCCACTACAGGGGAATCAGTCTGTGTACTGTCTGATGACTGACTTCTGAAGCAATTGACCAAATCATATGTTTCTTATATATTATTAAAACATGGTGTTTTTTTTAATTTCCTTGTTTGATTGGTTGAGAGATGCACAGAATTGTTGGAAATCATCTCTGAATGAGATGATCTGCATACAAGTTAATAAATAAATTGAAAGTTGTAAGGTATACAAGGTTAATAAAATAATTTAACCACTGCGTCACCTCGGCTCATACCATACCAATGAGACCATCACTGTTTGTTTTTGTTTTTGCTGCTTCTGATGAAAAGGCAATTTATCTTCTATAGAATAGAATGGAATAGAATAGAATTCTTCATTAGCTAATGCGATTGGACACACAAGGAATTTGTCTTTGGTGCACATACTCTGTGTACATAAGGAGAATAAAATACATTCATCCAGAATAAAATATACAACACTTAGTGATAGTCAAGGTTACTAATAAGTTATCAAATCAAACAAAACAACATAAATTGAAAGATACAAGCAACATGGTTATATTGTTGGAAGAAATGTCCTTCTGGGTTCGGCTCCAAGTGGGGAAAAAGACACTGGAAACATGGAGGCTGCTTGGAAAGATGGTTTTAATGGTGGACAGGACCACATGGCTTGAGTCCTGAACAGAAAAGGTGATCACATGCTTCAATGTTGCTGGAGAAGAGAAGGGAAAGCAAGGAAGGAAGAGAAGCTGAGTCCCTGGTTTTATCCCCCTCTGGCCTTTGATCTTGATCTTGCGTTCTGATTGGTTGTCAGACTCCCATGGAGCCATGCAAGGGAACTCTCCAGACTGCGTTTTGAATCCAGGTTTGGTTGAGTTCTCAGATGCCATGTGATGAGTTGGGTAAAGAGTCAATATCATCATGCCTTAATCCCATCACTCTGGACCTGAAGGGGACTCTTTATTATGTAAAGTAGACTAGCTCAGGGTTTAATGGTTTATTGACAAAGGGGGATAGGCAGGAAGCTGCAGGAAACTATTCTGTCTTTTAAAACATGTTTCTTTCTTTTCACATTCAGAGAAATATTCTGCCTTTTCAATATTTCCTAGGATATTTCATTTTTCTGGGAGAGGGCTGGGTGATAACTTCCTACAATAGTCATATGTGGGAAGAGACAGAATCTTCTATCTATAAGGTGGTGCCATTCTGCCTTACTCCAACTCAATTTTCTCCCCCCCCCTTCGTACTCCCAACAGTGCTGTCAGCAGATTATGAAGCGCTCTCATTATTGATGGTTCCCCTTGACCTCCAACTTGGTCATAGAAATAGTGTGTTGCTATCTTTCTGGAGTTTAGGCCATTTGAAACACCGTGAAATCCACAGTTCAAAGCATCACCTGAAATCCTTAAGGTGCATGGTACAGATATTAACGAGAGTGACTTTTGCTGCTTTTTATGACCTGTGATGCACAGTGGACACCATTCAGGGAATAATAAGTAGGAAAATCACAGAGCAACACATTTGCTGGCCTTTTCTTTTTTATTGTTTTTTGAGGCAGAATAGGGCCATGAGGTGCAATTAGGAACTCCTTGCAGCAAATTCTTTTGCTGGCTCAAGAACTGACACCCTGTATCATACCGCTCGTATTTATGCCTGACGTAAAAAAAATTGATTCCACATTTTCCCCAACCATTCTCATCCAATTTTCACGGGAAGGCGGGGGAGAGAAATCTCCCCTGCCGGCGCCAGAAGAAGGACACTGAAGCGCAAACATCCAGGCGAAGACCTCACGCGCTGGGTCTGGGGCGAGGCGGCAGCGACCGCGCGTGCAGCTGCCCCTCGTGACCAGGCTGCACGTCGGTTCCCAAGGCTGTTCTTTGGCGCCTCTGAGCGGCGGCGCTAGCTCGTCGCACCGCCCCGAGAGGCGCTTGTTTGTCTCCTCCTCCCCCCCCCCCACCCGCTTTCCCCGCCGCAGGGCCAGGCTGGGCTCAGGCGGTTGAGAGGGGGGCGGCCCCAGAGGAGGAGTCCGTGGCATGTACTGAACTGCCCTCTCCGTCTATCAACCACCGCTGTTTCCTTCTCTCGGACGCGCTTGAGCGATCTGCAGCCGTTGCCTCCAGCCAACAGCTCCTATGGCCGGACGCGGCGGCTTTCCCCTGACTCCGCCGCCCCCGGAGGGACCATCGGCGGCTGTCTCGGTGGCAGCGGGCGTCCCTTCTCCTGCTATCCCAGCACCGGGCAGCGGGCTTTTGCGAGGACCCAGTCCTGCTGGGGCTGGTACTTATCGGCCCATGGGCCACGGACCTCAGTTCCAAGTAAGTGGGGAAGCGCGCACGTGTGCATGTGTTGTCAGTTCGGGAAAAGTGCGGAAACAGCGGCGCCGAAAATGTATGCGGTTTTTCTCGACCCCGACTGGCGTCCTCTGAATTTCACACAGCTATGATTCCCATCATCTGCGAACTGGGAACACTTAAGAGTTATAGTCCAAGTTAGGTGCAGATCGTCCCATTAAGAAAAGTCACTTTGGAGGCTGTCAGTTTGGAGACACGTGAAGAGACTGGCAGCTGTAGCAGGGGCGTCAGTATCTATTAGAGGGGGAAATATGGGCATTTTTTTTCAGAGAAGGGGGTACTTTAAAGAAACTGAACATAGGGAGGGAGAATAAGCGGCATATGTTAGGTGGGATGAAGGGATTGTGTTTCCTTTGGGGAAAATAGAGACGTCAGAGGCAGCAGCATTTCGGTTCCTTGGGTTGCTTTTTAGAAATTGCTGAAGGATCGAAAAAGCGAAAAAACTTATTTTGTGATGGTTAATCTAAGTCTGCAAAATTATTCAATTCCTAATAAATTAGATATTAAATATTTTATTTATTTGATTTCTATAGCCATTTAACTCACTGGGTGATTTACAGTTCTAAAATGACAAAGCAATGAAAACAATTTAAAAAAAATTAAAACAATAAAAAACAAATTTTCCTTAGGCTGGTATAATTTGTATGGATTTGTTTTTAAGTTTACCTTGACAAATATTGGTAATGTCTACTAATTTAAATAAATATTTAATGTTTCCTTATGTTTTTGAGGAAGCCTTAAGATCTGAATAATTAGATGCGCTCTAATGGGGCATTGAGAGACAGTTAAATATTGGCTTGCATGTGCCATCTGGTTTGTCTTAGGCCTATGGTTGTGGCAAGAGGAGGTGGAGTTTGCACTGCAAATTATAGGTCTGTTTGTGTAATACTGTTTACAGTTATTCAAGAGAAATTTCTTCTATGTTTAATGGAGTAAGTTATTCCAACATAATATGTAGGATTGCAACCTTATAGTGATTTTGTGGTGATGGAGCTCTGTGAGAGGTAAAAAGTTTTGCAATCAGAAAGCAAATTTTTGGTTTTTAAAGATAGCAAAACATTCCCTAAGAAGCCTTTGGCAGATTTCTCCCCTCAGTCCTTCTTTGCCTAAAAGTTAGGGCTGAAAAACTTTCCATTTCTTTTCTAGATCATCATCATCATCTTTTTAATTAATATGATACCTTAATGCCAATTTTAATTTTGCTTGTATCAAATTGTGCTTCATTTCTGTATTTTGTGATAGTGACAGACATTATTTAATAATTTTTATATCACTTGATTTCAGCACAATTGGAACTTTGGCTAGAATCTCTTGGGTGTTTCTTTAATTCTCTAACAAGTTGGATATTAAGGGATATTTAAAAGATGGAGAATATGAAAGAAAGCAACATTTTACTTAAAGAAGGATCTGAAACATTTTCCATGAAACCTGAGTGTATTTTGACTTGTGAATTTGTTTGGAAAGGAATTTTCCCATTCTCTGGGATTCTTGATTATACAAGACTTTGTATATTAGAAGAATTGAGTCTTCAGCAGTATTTGAGTACAGAGATAGTATTACACTTTTAGTTTGAATGTAAGGAATGAAAGAAAATATAGCAATGATGTCAAAAATGATGTCAGACTACTGGTGATTTAAAGCAATGTTAGTGCACTCCCTAAAGTATTGCAATATATATCCACAAGGATATATGTAAGTGTTTAAATTTTTGGAATAATAATTTATTAGAGATATTTTATATTCACCAATGAAATAATGATATTGATTTGAAGAATATCCATAGAACAGTTTTTAAAAAATCTGAGTAAGTTCCCTCTTCCCTTTTTTTGTCATAGCCATGCCAATATTGGAAAGAGAAATTTTCTCCATGGTTTATTTTTATTTATTTATTTATCAAATTTATTTGCTTCTCATCTTGCAATTCAGGTGACTCTTAAGTATGTGATTTTCAAAAAGCAAGATGAGTGTACATCAAGTCGATATAGTTTTTAAAGCACCAAACTAAACACAGACCAATTGTCACATTTAGAATTTTCACAGGAACTTAAAAAAATACCTGCCATGTGACTTCCGCTGCAACACCTCAGTAGATGTGGGGAAGTAAGCTGCTTTCCTGACTCAATACCAGAGGTGGAAGCTCTGCCCACCTGACCAGATGCTTCCATGCATGCGCGGAAGCATTGCACGAGTGCTCGCATGCGCACAAGCAAACTGATAATAAAAATAATGGAAACCACCACTGTTCTATACACATTACATACATTGCTAATGGGGCATGAATTAGACTCATAACACAAATAGTTACGCATTTCTTGCAAAATGTAGATTTATTTAATTATGTAGTTTATATATTAAAGTTGGGATGTGATTTGAATTCAGAAACAGAAGAGTGCTTTAGAGCATGTGGAGAATGTGACATCCATCTACAACTCCTTATGGAATCTAGGAAAAACCACATTTGGTTAAAGGAGATAAGTGTTATACATTTTTGTACTCTGAAGCAATTTTGCCTTTAAAACCAAAACATTGGACTGCTATGTTATATATTACGTTTTCATTGATTGTGTTCAGATAATTCAAAAATGTTTAAAAATATAATCAGCAATGGACAAAGTAGTAAAATACTGCATAAAATAAAAAAAGTTAAAATAGCAATTATTTCAACTCGCCAACAGCATCCTTTATATTATTAAATGCCTCAGGTTTAATTGTAATACCATACATATGGTATTATAATGTAATAAAATACAAAATATTATTGTAAGATATCTTAAAATATCTGCCAAAATAGTACATAGTGTTTCATCTTTTGATTAGTAAAGAGTACTTTTTCATTCAGAATGGATTATACTTATAAAAATCATTGCTTAACTTCTGAAATAATACATCATTTCAATTTCTCAGTATAATTCTTCTAGCCACCAATAAAACATAATTCTTGATGAACAGTTTCTAAAACTTTAGTGTATATTTTAAATCACATTAACATTTTTAATATTTAAAATTTCCCCATTAATCAAAAATGCCACTCCCCAAAAGTACCAAATGATAGCAGGATCATATTATATGGATCAATGAACATTTTCATGAAACAAAATCTCATATCTTTCTTTTCAAGCACATTCTTTGGGTAGTCCAATGCATTCTAAATACATTTTTTGATAAATCAACTCAAATGTCAAATCTATTGATATAATTTAAACATTAAAAAAACCCATGAAACTATTGACAGGGCATTATTGAAAATTCTGGTTCTTTTATCAATATTTATAATATCCCAGAAATGTTCACTTCAAGATATTATATTCTTGACTTTTAAAAAAAACATAGATTGTGAATTTTACTTCTGTTACAGATTCCATTAGAACATACAACAAGTGCTTTTGGAAACAGCCTATGTGTTGGCCTCATATTAAGCCATTAAAACATGTTTAAGGTGAACATGCTGTCACTGTTGTAATCTAGGAAGACCAAATTGGATTTGAAGTCAGTTTTAGAAAATTAAAATTTTAGTATAAATTAACATTTACCCTACCACATATTTGCCCATATTGTTTAAATTATTTTCATACATATGTTTAATTTTTTTTTGCATAATTTACCTTTATCTTTTTAGATAAATTTAGATTACTGAAAATATGACATCTTTCTATTCAGGTGAAATTATGCATAATGCCATGCTATCTTTCTATTCTAATTGGTAGGGTCTTCGTTTTACTTCACCCAAGACATTGGCTAGGTATTATGTCTTTTTAGAAAACAACAACAGGGTGGTGGCAGTTTGGTTTCCATTAATTTAAAATCTTAATTTAAAATATTTTTAAAGTACATGTATTTATTTTAAACGTTAGAAATATATGCATAGTGCTCAACATTTTTCTGAAATGAATAGTTTTTAGGTTAAAATAAGTTTTAATCTAAAGAAAAATATGGAATAGAAAAAAGAAACAAAAATAATTCTGTAATACTTTTTTAAGCGTGGCAGCAAAATAATGTATCATTATTATAAGCCAAATCATTCCAATATACTCTTGATAAAGAACATATTTAATGTAAGTATAGTAAAAGAATGTAGGAAATGCTTCATCTGTCTTTCTTGGTAAAGTTAGGGAAAGGAAAACGATTTGAAAATAAGTTTGTAGAAAACCTATGCTTATTTCTATTGGAATTAAAGATATAAATCCATATGTACTATATCAGTGATAGCTAACTTTTTTCTCCTTCTGTGCCGAGCGTGTGCATATGTGTGTGTGCCCACACCCATAATGCAATGTGTGTGTGACAGCCTCCCTTGCCCCCTACCCCCCTGCACATGTGCGTGCAAACCCTATGTGATCCATTTTGGGCCTAGCAGGCCTCCCTAAAGCCTCCTGGGACCAAAAACGGGGCCCAGAAGGGTTTGAACATGGGCCCCTTGCATATGCGCGCAGGTCTCCTACATGTGCCCTGCGCATATGCAGCAGATACCCGAAAAAATCACCTGCTGGTGGGAGCCACACACGTGTAGTGGAGCTGAGCTGAGACGTGATCCCAGAGAGGGCTCCGTGTGCCATATGTTTGCCATTATGGTACTATATAGTGCAACTTCAGCTTAGTTAATCCTATAAAACATACAAAGATATGTCAATATATAGAAATGAAAACCACATTTGTAACTAACTAATTACATTAAAATCTTTATTCTTTCCCAAATATAAAAATAATTGTGTTACAGCTGCGTAAAGATCTGGATTTAATTTCTACACAGTATTAATAAATGTTGCTCATGTGGGCATGCACATAACATCCATTGGGAATGCTTTAAATTAAACACATCTTCTCCTAGGATTGAGAGGAAATTCAGTGCTGAGGAAAGATGCATTTCTTTAAGACACTAAGTGCATGTCGCCATAATATCCAAATTACTTTTTGGGGTTCAGTTTAGGTTTCTGTACAACCCCAGATTTTATAAATTGCCAGTCATA